GACTGTCACTTGTTTTTACATTGTGGCGTTATTTTAGAAATTGGTTGTCTACATTACCATGGATTTAACTCGTGAAAATTTTCGTAGTATGATTTTCTACGAGTTTAAGTGTAATTTAACAGGTCAGCGGAGCTTCGGTCGATTTCAAACTGGTTTTGGCGATGAAACACCACGCAAGTCGACTATATATTGCTGGTTCAAAGAATTCAAACGCGGTCGTGTGAATCTCAGTGACCGATTTCGTGATTGTCGCCCGTCCACTATTGTGAACAACAAAAACGTCTATGCTGTGCGCCGTATGATCAAAACAAACAGGCATGTGATATACCATGAGATTCGGGCATCTTTAGGCATAGGCATAAATCAAATACATTGGTTGGGTGTGAAAAAGCTGTGCTCTCGGTGGATCCCATATAATTTCACTGAGGCTCAAAAAACGGATCGTGTCAAATTTGGTGTGGCACATAGTAACAGGTGACGAAACATGGATTTCTAGTTACGAGACCAAAACAAAGCAGCAATCGAGCGTATGGGTCTTTCGAGATAAGCCGAAACCAATCAAAGTGGCGCGCGTGCAAAGTGCCTCTAAGCGGCTACTGTTGCTTTAGAGAATCTTTGTACCATGAATAGGGACTGGTACACGACCATTTGTTTGCTGAAAGTTATTGACAAATTCCGTACAAATAACCATAAACGCCGTATCATCTTGCACTACGATAATGCCAGTTCTCACATGGCCATACAGACAAATGAATTTTTGAATGTGAACAACGTTGACGTTATGAGCCATCCCGCGTACAGTTCCGACCTGGCGCCTTGTAACTTTTATTTATTTCCGCGGTCAACTATTTTCATCACCTGAAGAGGCTATCGAAGAGTATGAAAAATATGTTTCAGAGTTTGTCACGGAGGAGTGGCATAAATGTTTTCAAAATTGGTTCATTCGTATGAAAAAGCGCATTAACGCTAACAATGGAGAATATTTTGAGAAACAATAAATTAATTTCTGAACATTTAAAGTATTTTTTGAATTCATTCCGGAATATCTTATAGTGCGCCCTACGTATAATAAATATTAAATTAAATTTCCCACAAAAAAAAAACCGAAAACGTACGAGCCCGGATTCGTACCCACGGCCTCTGCTTAATAGGTGGTAGGTCAAACCATTAGGCTACCAAGGCTTTTTACGGCTTCGCCTACCAGTATATCCTAATAAGTGTAAAACTGTGATTGTGATAGTCGCGCGACATTGTCAGAGTTTGCATCAAACGTAATAGAGAATATTCGCATGCGTTAATATTCGTACACGAATTCTGAATGTTTCAGGATGGATATTAGTAGAACAACAGGGTGACGGGCACAGAGGTAGTGTCCGTCAGATCTTTGCGATTTAAAGCTCTGAGTGGAATTGCAACTGTTATGTTTAGGCGTGTAGCTTACCATCAGGCGCACGACTTGTTCGTCCCGTCCCTTGATGTTATAAAAAACAAAAAAAATAACAACAGCATAAATGCAAATGTGGGGTAAAGATTGAGGACGTCCTCAAATAATTGTAACTTTTTATTTAAAAAAAATCGACCTCAAATGTAAATGTAATTCCACATTTACATTACAGTATTTGCCAAGTTTTATTGGCATTGTTTACCGGCAAGTGCGCGAAACCGGATTCATCCTCGAGTTTGCTACCTTTAGAAGTGGAATATTTTCTTCAAATTTAACTGGGTCCAATACTGAGACACCCTCTTTTCAACAAAAAATAATCATCAAAATCGGTTCACAAATGCCTAGTTACCTATCGCGTAACATACATACAAACATGCAGGAGAACCTGCTCCTTTTCTTTGAAGTCGGTTAAAAAGGTCAAAATACAATCTGCCCTGGTATGAAAACACAATCTGCCCTGGTATGAAAACACAAGCAGTAACTACAAAGAACAATGGCGAACTCCCATACCAATTCTTGTTGACATAATTTGTATGTGTCTGTTTATGAAAAATATGTGAAAATATAGTTTCAATTCCCGAACAAATTTGGTTTTGGGTTTACTATTCTGAGAAGTAGGGTATCAAAAATATTCCAGTTTGAAATTTTGGTGGTGTATTGTACATATCAAAATAAACTACAGACGCCTTAAACAGAGTTAATAGAAGCCGAATGGTGTCGTGGATTTGTGATGTGACATTGTTTAGAGGTCAATAAGGTATGGTCAATAGGCATGAAGTTAAGCCATAACAAAAGACTGAGTTAATACAATATATTATGCCCTGGTATCAAGCTGGTACCTAACTCGGGCATAAATACTTTTTTGTGAAATAAGCCACCTACCTATCCCTGACATCAGGAACGTTTTATTAGTTTTACGCATTTTTTACGCACGTTTCTCGCATGGAATATTTGAAGAAGGAATTATCTACTTTATATTTTGTAATAAAGTAGTTCATTTAAAATCGCAAATCGGTTGAATCAGTACATTTGATATTACGTGAACTAAGTTAATGTGGGCCAATCTATACGTAGGTATTGAAAATCTGTTTGGCGGTTAGATGTTGCTCAATATTAAGAAACTAATAAACTGAAGGTCATTAGTTTCTTAATATTGAGCGATTCAGTTTCATTTAAATATGATTTTATTTCCAGACTTAGACAGCCCTTTAGTATAATTAGAAAAATCTAATGCATTTATTTAACTCAAACATGTAATTATGATGTTTGAAGATGCAATTTTTCATAAATCACTTCATTTTTATGTAGGTGTATCATACTCAACAAACTACAGAAAGTAACGAGAATGTATCAAATATAATTACAATACCTCAAGAATCGCTGATATCATGCTTATTTAATTCGTTAAAACGTTCACCTAAAAGTTGTGAAAGCTTACGATTCTTTACACAGTAGGGATCAATCTTTTTTATTTAATACCAATTTATTTAGGTTAAATATAACACATATTTTATACAGAAATGTTCATAGTATTTTATTTTTTATACATATAAACCTGTCTTGATAGTTTTTTGTAATTTATCCTTTTATGAAATAGAAAGACTGTTTTATTGTATATTATATTGTACATTTAAATTATTGAACATTAAAGCCCTTATCATCTTCAAACTACCTCAAGGATGATTGAGTATAATAAATATAGTGTATAAAAATTCCAATAAAGTAAGTCATAAAGTAGTGAATGGGTTTAAGTAACACTAAACCAATGATACAAATCATTTAGAGTTACTAAGTCACATTCCTAGAATGTAGATTTATCTGCATATTCAATCTAGACCTTGATTACTAGATAAGTTACACATATAATTGCAGGTAACATACCTTTATGTTGTTTAATAGTGCACAATTAGTTATTGTGTGTCATAGTTACTAATGATTATGCTGTAGTTATTTTATTATATATTTTTATTTATTATTTATTATATATACATAAATAAATATTGATACCATAGATAGACTCACATACAAGAACAAAAATAGTACATAAATAACTTTGAACTAATGTGGGCACAGCTGGACTTATCGCTAAGAGGGATATCTTTCAGACAACTCTGAGACAGATAAGAACTAAACAGAGAGGGAATATTAATCATAGAAATGCTTGAATTTCTTCTTTTTCTTGATCAATGACAGAAAGTTTACTATCTAAGGAGAAAAAGCTTTGTTTCACTAAACAATTGCCATCAATTCAAACTCATTCTCCTCCTTGGCACTGGTCTCGTCTTAAGACAGTGTCTAACCCATAGCATAACCCAAATCTTTAGTTGTCTTTTGTAAACATTCTCCAATGTATAGGTTTAATTTAAGTCTAAGCAACTGATAATTATCTTTAAATCTTACATCATAGCAGTTTCAATTATAAAATTTAATTCCTTGTTTGTCATGTATGAAAATGTCTGTTATTGTCTTTCACAAAGGAAACTTATACTTATGGTTAATTAAGATAGCTTTGTTTGTAAAAGTCTGCTATTCATACTAGGATTAACCTGTGTTATAGAGCACCAAAGTCAAAGTCAAAGAATATTTATTCCATAGGTAAATAAATTTACACTTGAAAACGTCACATTTAAGCTACTGCTCTTTCACTACGCTGACCTCCCTGAGAAGAACGAGCAAGAAACTCTAGGGATTGCTCTTTTCAAATAAACTTAAATGCTATGGAATAAACTTTGAATCTAATTTGTTTGGATTCTGGAACCGTGTCGTCTTTACATAATCTTTATTTAACACGTAGTCTTCAATTTTGTAATATGATTTCTTGTTCAAAATATTTTTAATGTAGTTTTTAAATTTAGGAAATGATAAACTTAATATATGTCCCGGAATCTTATTGTAAAAACATATACAGTTCCCCATAAGAGTTGTTTACCTTGGTTAAACAAAATGGTGGTACCATGAGTTTGGACTTAGCTCTAAGGTTAATATTATGGATATCTTCTTTCTTATTGAAATGATGTATATTTTTACGAACATATAAAATATTTGAGTAAATGTACTGTGATGCCACAGTTATGATACCAGTCTCCTTAAACTTTGCTCTGAGAGAAACTCTCAAAGCCCAAGCTCTCTCCAAGCTCTCACCCTTCCACCTCTAAGCAGACCTAAGAAACATAGGCATAAGGCAAACAGATATGTGTACTTAATCTATTACAAAATAAAGCAAAAATGAAAATTAACTTGTTAAATTATCGAGTTCTTAGGTTTTCGCTAAATTAGCTCTAATGCACCTGACTTTTCTTTTCCATCATGTACATAATTAATTCTAATTATCCAAAATTGGATAAGCAAAGCAAATTTGCCTCAACTCCAAGTAATGCTCATAGTGAGGATACCTCCTTTCATAAGCAAAATAAATGTGTAGACATAGAGTTTTGGACATCAAGCCACAAAATACCAATGTAGTATGAAATCTAGCTAATCTCTGTTGTAATATTTTAATAGCTCTCAGTTTTCTTATATTATACAGTTTGATATCTTATAATCAAATAAATCTTACCAGATAATCCTAGGACAGATACTGTTATTAGCTTGCCAGCTGCACTATCGGACTTCTTAGCCATTTTGCCCTATTCACTCCGTAGGGATACAGTTAATAACTACTCTATAACCACTTAATACACTCATCACAACACTAAACACACTGTTTACTAGTTACAAACTTTAAATTATGTACATGGAAGAAGTTGGCTCTGTAACATTTTAAATTTTAATAATGTAAATTAATTACTGTTAACTTACACTACTATAGAGTATGAAAGATTATTTTTCTTACACTTATAATAGCAAAACGGAATTGAGGTTTGTAAGAAAAAATAATAGGCAGATGGTAAAATTATGAAAAACGGAAGAGAGAGTGTGGGAAAGAATCGCATCCAGATGTGCCGACAATCTACACGCCCTAACCATTTGAAGGCCAAAAAATGTTAACGGACAACTACCCAGTCATACCACTAATAAAATTGACCAGAATAATTTAGAATACACAATGAAATTTGATTTAAAAACCATAATTTATTGTATTCTGTACTCAAGGGCCTGCACTTTGACACATCAAATTAAAATAGCGAGCACCCAGGATGTAAGGATTATTTCTTTGGAAATACGGTCTCACTTCATGGCGTACAATAATTAATTGCAATCTGAATCTTTAATTAACATTTTATTACACAAAAATGGAACATTTATTGAAGAAAACGCAATATTCTTGACACAACTCGTTTGCTTTGTACTGGACTGGGTTACCAGCGGAAAAACTGCAAACCATAGCCATATTTTTTTTTTATAGATGTTTTATAGTGTAAGATTTGATAGTGTTAAGATTGCATTGAATAAGTACCGACTTTAGAGAGGTAGAAAAAGTTTCCGTAGTCTGAGGTACCGACCGATTTATTTAATCATTACCAGTGGCATTGACTCACAACAAGCTCATATAGCGCCGACTAAAAACTAACAACAATATTACAGTTGCACTGAGCCATAGTAGACCTTGATAATGTCGCGACCATTTTCTTTGGCAACGAAACATTGTGTACAATAAAAAAATTTATGAAATTAAAAAGTTAGCTAAATAAAAATTATATTCGAAACAAGTTTTAAAACCTTCTTTCAACCTTCGGCGGCCCGCTAAGCTTTTAAGTGCAGCAGCATGAAACACTAGAAATATTATTATTATTAGAACATGCTTTATTTCTTTTGCTGTACGCGTAAATTAACTAATATTTTTATTTTTACGTTTGTAGGAAAAAAGTTGAGTGTAGCTGTTCTAAGTCAAAGTGTGGTGGCTGCTATACGTACCATAACGGTATGTTATGTTTTATTTTTATTGAAGAGGATCAATGTCATATACAGATACAATGTTTCATTGATAGGTCAATGGTCTTAGGCGAAAATATCATTAAACTTTTGTTAACTTTGTGAGTTCCATGAATGTTAATATTCTAAATAACATAGTAAGATAACATCTGGTAGTTTGTGATAGATAAATGTTTCATATAATAAATTTAGACGTCAAATATATGCCTAGCGTAGGTTAAAAATGTGTACTTTTTCTTGATTTCACTCCAAATGGGCGTATTTTTTAAAATACATTAATTGTTGTTTATGCTCATTTTAATATGGGATTGTATCCGAACCCAAAACTTTTAAGTTGTTTTTTCGTATAACAACACTGACTTTGACAGCACCATTACGAAAACACAAGCGCATAAATGTCTCCCCGCGATATTTTCTGGAGAAATGACTTCTACAAATGATGAAAAAGACATAAAAAGTAATCAAACGAGTGGCCATAAAGGCAAATCATATTATATTGAGCTTTATAAGGTAAGTTTTATTCTTACTATGCGGAAGATCTTTGAGTATAATCAGACGCCGTTGTGGTCATGAAGTTCCCTACGTCCGCCATATTTGTCTTCTTTCAGGTCTTGTTTTCAATTATTGTGGTTGATTTTGTATATTTTCAATGAAATATGTGTGCAAACTAGTCCCTGTATTGTATTCCACGGAAACAGTGAACTAATATAGCTTTTTTCTACGTAATCCGAATTAGAGATAGTATTATTTGCACAAATTGAATCATCAATATTTTTCCAGATATTCGTGAATTTCTTACATTTAGCAAATATTTTTTAGTTGAAATACACACATCAGGGTTAGGAGAAAGATTTTATATAATAATTTTCAATATACCAAGTTTATAATTGCTTTAAAATTTAAAGTCATTAGTCGCCAGAAAAATCACAGTAATCATTTGATGACAGCCATACCATAACACTGCTCGGTCACGTAGCTCATTAAGTCTCCAAATATGTATTCTCCGTGGATTTTTATGTATTGAAGGAGTGTATAATTTTTTCGTTTATATGTTTACCTTTGCATACAGTTTGTGAGCCAAATTAGGTTTATGTTATTATTGTTAGGGTGGCTATTCAAGGCCTATGCACCCCTATGTCACTGCAACCGCTAATTTGATCCTTGTGCTCGTCACTAATTACATACTAGGGTCAAGAATACAGAATTGAAGAATTTTATATGTATACCCCAGCTAGTATCATGTGGTCATCAAAGAGCAACAGTGGCATATATGATGTGGAAGCTTCACATCCATGTCAAGGCAGAATCTAGTCTTTGATGTCACCTTGTTTGAGGGTGAACATATACATCCGAATGCCAATTTTGAGTATTGTAAATAAATGAACAATGTTTTTACTAAACTGTGTCAAGACTCCTCTCATGTCTCAATTTTGCACCAGCTTGCCTTTACTGGCTTTAAAATTATTATACAGTTGAATTTACAGTGTTTTTTTTTCAAGAGTCTTATTTCTCTTCTATTATTATGAACTAACTTAACAAGAGTGACAAAGTGCTGTAATTGAGCAATCTATAGTACTTATTATTTTACTAAGTGGGATGGAGAAATAATAATAATAATTTAGGTACTTAACTAAATGTAAACAATCTTGATACATTTTTTATTGAAACATAAACTTTACAAATCAATAGGTATAAAAATAGATATGCTATTTCATATGAAGCTAAGTATTGAGTTCTTAAGTTTTCACGATTGTTACACATAGGAAAGGAAACTATTTTTCTGGACTTAAATCGTTTACATTTGTTTTTTCAAACAAACCAACATTTCGGGCCCTTTACAGGTCCCATGGTCATGGACCGTGACCATGGGACCTGTAAAAATTATGAAGCTAAGTATTTGTATTTTGTATTTCAAGGTAAGTAAAAATAATTTTACGAATGCATATTGAATTAAACAGACATCTCAAGGTTGTTTACATTTAGTTAAGTACCTAAACAAATGGATTATAGTTGTTCATTCACAACTGATCTTTTGTAACACATTAACATTTCTAAAGTAATATGTTTCATTTCAAAACTTCAATTATTATACATATATATGTCTTATGCATGAATTCAGCATGTAATGGGACAGGCATTTATTTTTTTATTACGATTAAACCACGGGACGAACAAGTCATGCGCCTGGTGGTAAGCAACACGCCTATCCATAACAGTTGCAATGCCACTTGGAGCTTTAAACCGCAAAGATCTTATAGGCACTACCATTGCGCCCGTCACCCTGTTACAAGTTGACATGTCCCATGTGCCTGTTATTTTACCAGCACTACAACACAGTAATACTCATGTCACTGCTTGGCGGCATAAATAGGAGGATTTCAGAAGGAGCTCTACTGCTACCAAAAATTTTGTATTTTGTTTTGGGCTTTATATTACATAGACAGACTAATTACAAACCTCATTATCCGAGGCCGTAACAAGCAATTTGGTAATAGAGGCAGAATTATGGCACATATTTACGGTAGTTGTGCTATATTCTTTCCAGTATACATGGTTTGATTCTCTCTGATTTATAAGTTTGTTGAGACATATAGCTTTTGCAAGAGTAGTGTCTGTAGCTGCATTACAGAAATGACATGCAATCATCTCAAGCAGTACACTTCAAATGGAAATTATAGTAGCGTATAGCGTAATTAATTAAACGTAAGTAGCGTAATTAATTACTTCATTGAACTATTCTAATCTTCATCTGATATACATATATTATTTTCTTGCTACTTATGTTTGACATTATTGGTATAATACAGGAAGAATGTTGTACTCAATATGGATTCAAATCTTACATATCACAATAATGACCTTTGTCTATAAAAGTAGAGCACAAAAGACCTATTTCACTAACTAAAATTATGAAATGGTTTTGATTAAGGTGTGCCATATCAGAATCACGCATAGTCTTGGTGGCTAAACATAGCTCTACTCAGCTTTCTTTGATAGTGGATTTTAGGTATAGATTAAGTACATAATGCCCTCCCAGATAGCATAAATAACTGCAGAAAATGAATATACTGTTATACAATATTATATCATAGTTAATCAGAGATATTCTTTATCTAAATCTTTATGTAGTGTTTATTTTAAACTGATAAACAAATGTAGAGTATAAATACACCATTTACATAACATAAATAAAATAAACAGTACAAATCAATAAAATGGTCAACCAATATCGTTTATCTAAATGTTAACATAATTAAACTGATTTTCCACTTCATAGTAGGTTGTTATCACTTATCATTATTGCTTTCACAGATTTAAGTGCAAGGCCTAATGTCTGATTTAGTAATGGAATGGAATACTCCAATAAAAACTACAATTTTGGGCTAAGTAGAATAGGGACTTTTTGATAAACATTTTTGCATTACATCAGGGGAAGCTGTGGTCAAGCATATGTCTGTTTTCCTTAAAAAAGGGTACCTCATTCGATCATCAGCAATGCTCACATTGATTAGAGTCCTATAATGAAAAAGTCATAATGTTAAACATCTACTTTTGCTTTGATGAGTGACCTGTTACCGTTTTGTTTATCTTTAGTGAGTTTTGTATTTCAATTTATTCAAAAGATAAAGTTTGGAGTCATCATTGTAATATTATATGTATATTAAATATTTGCGCTTAAGTCTGCAAATTATTCTTGTGTAGAACTCTACAGTTATAAACAATAGCGGACATATAATTCATGTTTTCAAACCTGTAATGTGTGTGGCACATGTGGTGTTAAAATTATCATTAAACAATCTGCAGTCTACTTGTTTCTGGTTATTGTTTTACACTTTTTTCTATAGGTCAGTAACATTGGTAACCAGAAGTCTGTTCATTCAATAAAAATTTAATTTTAATGATGTGTATAATAATAATAATGAGCACCAAATAATGTACAGCACAATCAACCATATAATATGGAGATTAAGACTACTCCATGTGATTACCACTAGTTATAACATGGTGGGAAACCTGTGACTAGAGAAGTCATACAGTGGAATAATGTTTTATGATTTATTTATAATCCGTGGTCGGATAATTGGATGCTTTTATACCTAAAGCATTGACTTACAAATAACTGGACGACGGGTCTAATACAAAAACCACGAAAAATATTTAAACGTAGTGACATTTCAAGGAATATGAAAAAGCTAAAATGTTTAATTTAAATTGTAATGTCATCGCAGTACTGTCTAATTTTGCTTGCTTCGCTGTCAGTTGAACAAACGAAGACTAGAGCGTGAATGACGCTCTGTATACGATTTTAACGCCCTATAAGTTCGGACACTTTTTAGCGCGGACCCGACGTCTATATAATTGTAAGTCAATGACCTAAAGTAAACATTGTTGTCTACTTCCATACTTTCTTCTAAACATATAATTTTTCTAATTATTATACTAAGATCAAACACTGAGAACAATTATTCTTTCGATCCGGTTGGATTCGAGTCGGCGTCTTCAGCATAGCATGTTGGATGCCTGCATGCCCGACGCTCTCCCAACTTAGCTACGTAATGAACCAACAGACCTTATAAACATTACTATGTGTTTGTTGCAGATCTTTTGTTTTTTATTTATCAACGACTTTTTCTCTGTGAGAAATCTATGAGTTTTTTTTTCACTCACCTTTATAGCTACCATTGGCTGAGTAGAATATATACTTTTCTTCTCTTAAGTCCCGCTATATAATCCCGAATGGCGTGACTCCTTACGATTTAATTATGTGTATGTTATAACTCTTACAAGTTAATGGCCAGTAATGACAACTGGACAACTGTTAGTGAGCTACCGAGTTGTAGGAAAATATGACCCCCACGACGATTATTTATGGTATACCTACTCTATTACTACTACTATAAAAAGGAAATAGACTTAGTACAAAAAGAATAGTAATTTTAGCAAAATATGCAATAACAAAATTGTACATATTAATTTGAGCATTGCTTATTGCGCAGTCGCTGGACGCGCAGCTAAACGCGAGCAGCAACGCGCGCGCAGTGGGCGCAGCGTGGCGGTACGTACATACGCTCTGCTTGCACTCAGCGCCGTCCACGCACCACCTTATCATCGCCTGGATCCAGAAGCACTGCGCTCAGCTTGTGCTGCAGGTATGTTCTATATTAACATTGTTAACTTGGCAAAAACAAAGAAACGAACAAGTATCTTATTATTATTGACACAAAAATAGAGAACGAACAACACGTTCGATTTTAATAATAGTAAGAAACTAGTTGAGTGTTTTTTTAAAATATATGAGTAGTAAAAACATCATTATGTAAGATAAATATTGCAAACAATTATCTTGCAAAATTTTTATACAAAAATATCTAGGCTAGAGAAACAATTGTGTCATGTGTGGTTATCAGAACCATTTACCGTTGAATGAAAGTCTCTTCTCATGCTTCCTCTGTCATCTAGTATCTTCCAACCATCCGGTCACAACATTTATCTCATTGGCTCTTTCTCGGCACTTTGTCTGTTAATTTCTTTTTAATCAATTTTATTTCAGTCCGAATGGCAATCACCAAAGAGCAAAGAGGAGCACATTACCCTCGAAGAGGCCCTCGACATCTTCCTCTGCGAGAGCCAAGAGGCTATAAATAACAGAAATGGCTACAGTATCCCCTGGGAGACCGAGCTGCGGCAACGGGCCGTGTGGTTCAAAAACAACTTGGCCAAGCCCTGGGATCATCCAGTGCTTAGGGTCTTGCTGGATCCCAGGGCCGTACCACCCAGCACTGAAGAGAGTAAGTCCAATCGTATACTTTTTTTTTAAGAACTCTGGGATTTAATATTTTTTAACAGATGTGTGTAATAAAAACGTAAACGCCTTTAATGTGTTTATTTAATTTTTAACAGACTTAAAAAAAGGAGGTTCTCAATCGATTGTTTTTTTTTTTGTATGTATACAGGCTGTGTATTTGAAAGTGAGACATACTTATAGAGTGCGTTATATTCCTGATTCTGAACCCAAAAAAATAATAAAATAATGAACTTTAAACTTTACAAAAAAATATTTTTTAATTTTTTTTTATCGACTACTACTTGTGAACAACATTACTTATAGAAATCTATGCACACCACTATTATTGCTCCAACGGACGCAGCGACGAGAGACTGAGATGGTGTGACTTTACGCAATAAGTGGTGATAGTGTGAGGCGAGCTATTGAAATGTTACCAAATTGGAGTTTACGCGGAGGAGGTGAACAGTGTCGAAGTTGTTGCATGAGAGGATTATCTCAGCATTTTATACTGTGAGACAAAATTTGTTTGTGTTGATCAATTTAAAACAAAATTTACTACTTAATTTAAAACCTCAATTCTTATTAAATGATAACTTAATTATCTTTTTTAGTACGTAAAACATCTCTATGATAGTTCATAAGTAAAAAATATTAACATAAGCTAAAACGTAAACATTTCGATAACAGCTTTTTCATCATAACATAAATGAGTAGGTGAGAGAGAGATGTGAAATCGTTGTTATTGCTCGCTTGGTAGTATTCCCAATGCACTCAAAATCAAGATTAAAGGGAATCGGTTTATTCGTATATACACTCCAAAACAAATCAGTTGATTTATTTTTTGTTCTATCCCATATGCTAATTTTATTTTAGTCTATTTTAAGTTGTAACATGATTTACTATGACATGGATGAATACGTCTTACTTTCAAATATACAGGCTGTATATGGCATTGTGAACCGATTTTGAAAGTTCTCTTTTTTTTTTGTTGGGAAGACGGTAGAGGAGAGGTATCTCAGTATTGGTGCCATTTAAATTTGAAGAAAATATTTCCAATGTTTTAAGTAAATAGAAGGTTCAAATTTAAATCACAATGAATAAAAATACCATAATTTTGCAGTCTTTATTCCAGGTCTTTAACAACTTTTATGTGCCCAGTTTTAGGATGGTTGAAAGTCGAGGGAGGCGTAATGTTCGTAACGCGGCTGCGGCAGCTGGCGGCGTCCAAGTGCGACGACTTGGCGACAAATTTGGCGTCAGCCGTCATGAACAAAGTGCGCGCGGAGAAGAGCATTATTCCTGATATTGAGCAGATTGATGATAAAGGTTAGTGAAAAGTGGAGATAAGTTAATTAATAGGAAGATCTTCGATCAAATTGGACTCGAACCAGAGTCGATCGTCTTAACGTTCTATCGCGCGAGTTCGAACGAGCTAGCAAATTTTACGAATTTCTCTGTGCTTGTTATGGATCTATACTTTCGCGTTGCTTTGTACGTGACCGTGGTCACGGGAAGTGCAACCTGGCCGAAACGTCGGGAAACTAGGTAGATGTGAAAAATACCTATTCGTATGTAAACGCGTTTATTCCCGTTTCCAAATGTTTGTTGCGGATCTTTTATTGCCGTCGACAAATAACTAAATAGGATTGCTATTCGCAATAAGAGACCGCGTGGTCGGGTATTTAGTACCTATTGGCTCACTAGATGTCACGACGAGTATCATATAGCCATTTTTGTAACTCATTTGTTTTATATAGACAAGCTGCAATTCGGGAAGCACTACCACTTGACTCAAGAGTTTATCCCTCGCAAGTCATAGTTCAGCAATATGGAATTTAACAAAAAAAAAACTACCTCCATTATTTGTAGACTTGGTCACGTGACAACTCCTGCCCACCTGCTCAAACTCAAAATTGTTCCTGGCCCTGCATGCTCATGTGGGGCCTTTCTGGAATCTAAATCATATCTTCTTCTCCTGCCCCTCAATTGACCACGACAATTTCATATCCAAACGCTTGGCAATATTATACTTATGCAACAAAGATATTTACAATATTTTGCCTTACTTATTGAAAATAATAATGTCACGCTTTAATATGTATGCCGATATACAATAATCCTTTTTATCCAAATTCCGTACCTTTTCCATAATCTGTAACGATATTCAATAATCAAAAAGCAAAGGCAAAGCCACTAATATTATAAAAAAAGGTGCAATTTATCAAATGTAATTTCTTGTGTTAACAAACAAATCAACTAGATGGCGCTTATTGCACAGATTTTGTTTAGGATGAGCGCCATCTACCTATATTAGGAAGCGTGAATTTGTAAATTAGTTTGTAACACACGATGCCATCTGTTGACATCTTAAGACGATGGAAAAAAATAAAGGGAAGGAGCTGCCCTATCTACGGAATAAACGTACCTGCCTAAACCAAAAACGTTCACCACAAATGGCGGATTTAGTGTTGTACTATAATCATAAATAACTCAATATCGATATGCAAATGTATGGCTTGAATGTTGAAACTGTTTTTTATGTTTGAAAATTTGTGTAGTTTAGTGTAACCAAAGTATGATTAATACCAGGCTATTATTACTAGGCAAGTCATTACTTGCCTAGTAATAATAGCCTGGTATTCATTATTAAAATGGCTCAATTAAATATAAAGTTATTTACCAATAAATGTAACGATGGAATTGCATTATCATGTAATCTAGATACATTCAAAGTTCTATTAAAAATTGACTTCAAAATGGAGCGACAAACGAAGATGGTATTTGATCCAATGTTTATGTTCGGCAGTCTTATAATTTCCGTCTTTATATTTTCATTTGTAGGTGAAGTTTAATAATAATAATAATGAAACAATAAAAACCTCGTAGTGAATTGTTTTAATAACAGAATATCGATAATATATCTGCTTACTAGAACAACACTATCTTAGAATAATCGTTATCAACAATCATAAAAATATAGCAACAAACAGGTAATCTAAAGTAACCAAAGCAAAATTCGGCAAGATTTATGAATAAACTACTTAAATTAGTTTAATTACATGACATATTTGGGCTATTTTATGATTTATAGGCGGAAAAATCACACAGTGTAATGTAACATTCGGCTGATTTCCGATTTTCTACTGCCGCACCTCTTAATGTTGCAGCGACGCATTTTTATCAATACTTAATTGTTCTCACTGTCAATATTTTTCTCCATTTCATTACAATTCATGCGAATAATTCACTAAAACATTTGGCCAATCATTGGTTTTGACATTAATGTACTTCCCTTTAAGAACCGGAATCGGTTATCAAAGGGTACTACGATAATGGCAAAATAAGGACAGTTGGCATTTAAGAAGATTAAGATCCCGTGTTTGACATAAATCACTGTAGTGCTATCTCTTTGGGCTTACGACGGCACGCAGTAGTTAAACAAAGACACTAAAATGTTTATGTTTTCACTGTCTAAATCTTAGGCTATGGAAACTAAAGGACATGTTATGTTGACATTTATAAATCAGACCATATATGTATATGATGCATTTCGATGTTCAAAACATAAACATGTTATTTCTTTGTTTAACTATTGCATGCCGTCTTAAGCCAAAAGAGATAGCATTACATTGGTCTGTGTCAAACACGGAAATCGAAAATACTTAACGTCACCTTAAATGCCAACCGTGTCCATTTCGCAGTACATGAGGTACATGATACAGTTGTCAAAGGGAAGTACGTGAAATGTCAAAACAAATATTTTTCCAAGTGTTTTATTGAATTATTCGCATGTATTGTAATAAAATAGACAAAAATATTGACAGTGAGAACAATTAAGTATTAATAAAAATTCGTCGTTGCAGCATTACGGGGTAACATTGTACATTGTAGTTCTGTGTTTTTTGTCTGTCTATAAATCACACAAAAGCCCAAATATCTCATGTAATTTATGAATAAACTACTTAAATATGTGTATTTAAGTAGTTTATTCATAAATCTTGCCAAATGTTGCTTTGGTTTCTTCAAATTGCCTGTTTGTTTGTATATTTTGATGATTATTGCTAACGATTATTTTGAGATAGTGTTGTTCTTGGAAGTGTACATATTATCGATATTCTGTTATTAAAATAATTCACTACGAGGTGTTTATTATTTTATTATTATTATTATTTTTAATATTTCAAGTTTACCTACAATTCAAAAAAGAAAAAAAGAATGGTTGGAAATCATAGAAGTGCCGAATATAAACATTGAATCAAAAACCATCTTCGTTTATTCGCTTCATTTTAAAGAGTTAAATTTTAACATAACTTTGAATGTAACTAGATTACATGATAATGCAAATCCATCTTTAGGTTTATTGGTAAATAATTTTATATTTAATTTAGACTAAACAATACCCATTTACTAGACATTCTCAGTTCCTGAAAACAAAATTATCCACTCGTTTCCGACTTATTCCCACTGACAACTGGATCTATTAAAAATTCTTATTTTATAAAACCAGCAATACAATGACCATGTTCACCATGAAATCCAGTACCAACGCATACACAGCCTATTTGCCTTGCCATCGTTCGGTGTCACTTGCCTAGCTGACCGAGTGAAGGCGAGCGCTAACGTCTATATTTGACGTGGCTTGTCACAACTCGCAGTCACTTGTGACTACTTGTCTCAGTGTTGATTTTTCTGCACAAATCAAAGAGCTCGGCCAATAGTAGTCAATTGACATTGTATAATCAGACATTTGCATGCTATTCAATATATGCGAAACATGTTTATACTAACACTGTCTCTTGTTACATCTCCTGTTATACCATGTTTTAAGCAAATAAGCGTATGATAATAAGGAAATGAAACTATTTTTCCGGATTTAAATCGCGTATATTTGTTTTTTCAAACAAACCGACGTTTCGGGCCCATGGTCATGTTGACTGTCAACCGTGACCATGGGACCTGTAAAGGGCCCGAAACGTCGGTTTGTTTGAAAAA